CCACCTAACCGTAAGTTCTATTTGAATAGTGCCTTCTTTGGTAATTCTCATCTTTTGAACTCTCTTCCGGTTTCTTGCTTTCCTACGATCGTCAAAAACTTAACTACAACGTCAGTCGTCATCTGAAACGTGTTCTTTTATCGTTCTTTTTCCTCGTTAAATTTCTCTCATTTTCTTTCACTCTCAACAATCCCCCTTACGTCTTAGTGGCATTATCTCCTTCCTTAAGGTGAAGTGATTTTAATTTATTTCTTTTAATCGGTATCACCCCATAAAAGGCAATAAAGCCACTAACACACAAGGGGTTTCAGGATGGCAAAGAATTAGGAACAGAAACGTTAATAATGAACGGGAAGGGGAATGAATAATCAGATCGACAGTAGATAGCGATTGACATTGCATTTAAATTTTTGCAGATTAAAGTTGGCTGGAAAATATAGTGGGAGTTCCACAAGCGAGAAGTAAGAGAGAAGAAACTGTTAGCATAGAACTTACGGCTACATCTCGCCAGCTCAATTGTAAATTGATGAAAGCTCGACGCCACTATAGTACTTCGCTTAAATTCAAAAATCTAGATACTATAGCGAAGAGCGATATTTATTCTGCTATCTACAGAAATGTGGCACAAGGCTAAAATGGGAAACGAGGAAAAGGTACTGTCTTTATATTAAACTTAGCTAGCCACAAACACTGACCCAAACATACAATAGTATTGCTAACACCAAAACAACGCATTCTTACTTACCTTTCTTACTATATCCACCATAATACCTCATTGTCACTATGAAAATCCTAACTAGTCCCTACATGAACCATTCATTGTCTTTCGAGATAAAACAACAAATTTAAAAATCTAACGCCAATACTATACTATAGCGAAGAGCTATTGGAATTTAATTTGAGAACAATATCTTACAAGTTCACATTCTAGCCTATTTTTCCAATCCTCACTCCAACTTTTTTTTTTACTTTCAAAACTGGCTTCCAAAGCCTTGATTCTTATCAGTGATAAGAATATATTTTCTGACTAACTAGAGAGCTGGAAAATATAAAAAGGAATTCCACCACCATTATTCTTTCCCTGGTGCCATAAAGTCTGGGGGAAACCTCACAGCTTGTTCACTCCAACCTTTTTCCTTACTTTCAAAACCGGCTCCCAAAGCCTTGATTCTTATCAGAGATAAGAATATATTTTCTGACCAATGAAAGGGTCAGGAAATTTGTATAACAATTTTGGAGGGAAAAGTCACCGATTCTTTTGAGCTTCCCAAATCTCCATAAATTTGAAGAATCTTCGCCTATTTGCCAGTGAGAATTCGACAACCGTCTGTGAGGTCGGCGATAGAGAACACCAGTCAACTTCTGAACCAGTTTCAACCAAAGAAGAACTACCTACTAAAGGACTGTCGAGAACGAACGTCGGCCCACTATTAAAGACCAGTTGAAATCTGCCTTCCTTTCACCGACAAGACTTCTGTCGTCGACCTACGAACTCATTCAACTGCAAAATTCCTATATCTACCGACATTTTCTTACTCTGCAAGAACTGTGAGGAAAACTGTGAGAGTTTCTAAACCTTAACAAAATTCTACTCGCTTAAAGAATATTTAGGCGCCCAGGGAAATATTTTGAGCCAGCCATTTTTGTTATGAACATTTTCTCTTCCCTTAAAGTTAAAGGACTTTTTCTCCTCCATTTCTTTCCCCTCCTAATTGTCTTTGTATTCCAGTACCCCCTTTTTTTACGTGTAAATAAACACTTTCTTCTTTTATTGTTACTCAACGAGCAGGAGTTTTGACTCTTTCTTTATTCGTCCGCCTAAAAGAGAGAGTTTGTCCGATCTAATCTTGCTGTTTTTATTCAATTTTTGTTGCAATGTTTTTAACCTTTCATACGGGAAAGCCAGGACAGATTTCCCGCAAAGCTCATCTGAACAATTACAGAAATATTTATATATATTTTTTAGAAAAGACACAGGTAATGAAACTTACGGCGGTGGAAAAGGGTCTGAAGCCGAGCCGCCAGATCAGAGCCAATAATATTGCTGATTTTTATTTGGATCTCATCGAGGAACTCAATGTAAAGAAATTTTGATTTAAAATTTATATTTCAAAAGAGTGCCAAAAAATTAATTAAAAAAAAAACAATCTTAGATCTAAAATTTATAATTTCTTGGGGTGAAATAATATTTGCGATAAGCAACCTTACATTATTTGGGAAAAAATTATCAGAAAAGATCCGTCACCCTACTTATCAACCTCGGTATCATTGACCGTTCAGACGTGATAATTAATCGGCTTCTATTGCAAAAGCATTGTCCTGTGTGTGGCTAGCGAAGTGACCACAAATAACTTGAGTTCACAGGCGAACAAAAGGGGTAAGCGCCAAGAACAATGGACATTCGAAAACAATTAATTCTTTTGTTAGTTATTTTGGGGAAGTACTATATTTCTTTCGAATGTTCTTATTCTTTTTTTGTAATCTTTAATACCATTTGCGA